CTTACTACATAGCACAAACCTGCCTTGGGTGTTAGGTCTAAGAATTGGTTACCTTAGTCACTAAAGCATTGGACACATAACAGCTTGAATATCAGAGTTATGGAGTTCTGTGTGCAGGTAGCTGGTTGAAGTAAAAGTCCCACCTTTAGTAATGTAATTTCCCTCCTCGCTCTTCTTGGTGTCTCTAATGATCCAGGCCATGCCCTGCTTTCAGTAGACCCTGGATGTGCACAGATGACCCTTCAGAGAATGAAGAGGGAGCTATAATAGGTCTCAGAAAAGATGTCATGTTAGTAACTCCTTTGTCCCAGCTCCTCCCTAGCTAAGACCAAGATTGCTTCAATCTACTCAGTGCCTCTGACTGCTTCACGTTCAAAATGTCCATGGAGCTTGGAGGCAGGGAAGGTGGCAGGCCATCAGTATATGTAATAGAAAAGATCCTCTCCGTCCTCTGGGTGTTAATATTTTGGAATGATGGGGCAGAAGGTGGGGCATAAAAAAATAAATTAAAAAAAAACACAACAGATTGGAAGAAAGAAGGTTACATTAACATTTCCGAAGCCATTGTCTGCATCTTTCACTGGATTTATGTTGGTTCCAGGGAGTTAATCTAGTTCTCTCCCACATTCTGGTGAGCCACAATTTGATACAGAGAGCCAGTGTGTTATTCCAGGACTATAGCACAGACAGGGAATATAGCCTTGACATCAGCAAATGGAATTGACTTTGGGGCATAATTTTATTCAGCCTACTTTGAAGTAAGATCACAAAAGCCTTTTTCTTGACATCATATAGTTAGATGATGGCTGTCAGCTATTCAGTAAACACAACTGTCTGCTTTGGATACAAGCTTATAAGCCCCTCTCTGGTCCTCCAGAGATGAGAGAATGCTTTGTGGGCATCCTTTCAGATACAGAGCTGTAGGGCAAAAATCCTTCGTTGTGTTACTACTACGTTGTGCTTTTGAGACATTTTATAAAGATTGTCACACACCTTAAACCCTTCTATGAGAAAAGTATTACTTCCTCCATTTCATAGGGAAGAAATTAAAGGTCAGAGAGGAAAATGAAATCACACAGCTGTCCAGTGGCCAGGGAGTTTTTATTAGAGTTTGGATTATCACCAGGTGGGTCGACTTGGGGCTCTTACCACCCACACAGCAACTCCGAAGTTTCTCTATAAATGTCTTTATCTCTAAAATAACCACCCCCCACCCCACCCTGCCAAAAAATAACAAACTATCAGTGGTGCCAATTCTTTCTTATATGGCTCAAATAACTAGAATTTTCTGTGGATCATACAAAAATCTATGAGTTTTGTTGTTGTTGTTGTTGTTGTTTTAATTAAGTGCTCATGTTTAATCTTTTAATATAATCTCTCCATTTCTTCAGACATATGGGAGATAGTCAGAATCCTATAAGCCATGATAGCTCACATTTACGGTAGTTCCCCTAGAATGAGAGGAGTTAGGATTTTTATTCTTTACTTGTTTTGTTGTTGTTGCTTTCATTGGGGTTATGACAGATAAGACTTTTTCATTTCATTAAGTATTTAAAAATGAAGTTCAACCTACTGTCTGTGCGAGGCCCTCTAACAAGTGGTAGGCCACTGTGAGATTTGGGATTTTAGGGTGTGATTTCTGAATAGGTGCTTTTCCTGAATTAAATTCACATTACATTTTTTCAGAAGCTGTTTTGAAAGAGCACGCAAGTAAGTTCAGCATTTTGATGGACTTTGATAGCATAATGTCTAATGGAGAGCTTGGAACACTGAGCACAGTGCTGTTTAATCCTCATGTCTCTGTTCATTATATCTTCCAATGAGCTGGTTTGCTGAAAAGAGAGACTGCAGTAATGCATTTAATGTGGAATCTGGAATTCCAGAATTTTCCTCATGCCTAATATTTTGCAATATTAAATTTACCATATGTTTCAAACATAATTTTAAATCTCCATTTCTCTGTTGAATCATGAAAGAAGATTATCCTTTATATTTATGGCAGCAGAGAAAATTTACAAGATTTTCAAGATACAAAGGTGTTTATGTATTACTTGAACTAGGACTGTACATTTTAGCAAGACCAACAGATTAAGACATAAAAATAATCCAGCTGTTCAGTGTGCTGTTCCTGCTATTTCATGGCTGTTTGATGTCTAGAGTTGTTGTTTGTTTTTTGTTTTGTTTTGTTTTGTTTTGTTTTTGTTTTTGTTTTGTTTTGTTTTTGTATGTTTTCTTTTAAGCTAAATTGACTTGCAGGGTCTTACTGGGACAAAGCTGATGGTTACCTATTTGATCATTTGATCGGCTTTGGAATATTCACCAGTGTGCTTGCTATTTGGCTATATCCTTTCCTTATCTTTATGTCCTTTGTCTGAAGCCCATTTGCTGCATAGCAATGCTAGTTGGAGAATAGGTAGGAATTCAGAGAGGATTAATCACCCCAGGAGAAGTTTATGAGTATGCATATAAGTTGCTTAAAAGTAGGTGGTGAAACTCAGAGAGATCTATATGGCTTAAAGGCACAGGTCTACAGTTTACAAAACTCTCTCTCTCTCTCTCTCTCTCTCTCTCTCTCTCTCTCTCTCTCTCTCTCTCTCTCTTTAAGTGGGGCACTTGGTTTATTTCTGATGCAATGACTCAGTACAGTGGGCTGAGGAGGTGGGGGATGAGGGTTAGTGGAAAGGCCTTCTCCTGCATGGACTAATGTCCAGCACCTGATTCCAGGCATATGTCTCCTAAAACCACTCTTGTATGGCCATTGAGGGAATGTGTGGATCAGGGTCTCCTGGAGATCATACATGCCCTCTTCCTTGAGCTGGTCCTGACTGCTGCTGATGTAGCATAGCACTTGCACCCTCTGAAAGAATTCCTCACCAACCAGGCAGACACTGCCTGCTGGGGCAGGTAAGCCAGAACAAGGTAGACAGGGGAGCCAGATAAGGCCTCCAACTCGCCTGGCCTTTGCTGGCTGACTCGGATGGGTCCAGGGACTTTCTGGGCAAGGGTGCCAGATCTCTCTTGTCACTGGACTTGCTCTGGGAGCTGAGTGACAGACTGGTCCAGGTAGCCCCTTGGTCTTAGTGGTGATCACTAGAGTGGGTTTGGTGTTGGCAGTGCTGGGGGTGGGGCAACCCAGGGACTTCTGGGTACAGTTTAGGCTCTCTATCAGCAAGGCTTGTTTGAGGGGCAGCAGCTGGGGGTCCACCATGCAGCTGGGGGGCAAGGTGAGCAGTGGTGGGGCACTTGGAGTCAGGTAGCTCTCCATGTCCTCCTCTGAGTGTGCAGTGCCAGGGGCAGCAGGCAGGGGGTCTGAGTCAGGCAGTATGGGCAGGGACTTGCTGATGGACGTAAACAGCATCTCCTCAGCCCCCAGATTTCCTGCCTGCTCCTGGGACCAGGTGCTGCTGTCACTGGAGCTGCCAGGGAATGTGGCAACCATCACCATAGGCATAGCCTAGCAGTGCTCAAACTCAAAGAGGCAGAAGGCGCAAGTCCACATTATGGGGGAGGCTTCACTCATGGTGACAGGGGACCGTGGCACCACCTGTTCAAAGGAGACGGACAGCGTGTTGTCCTCTTCTGTGGAGTGCAGGAGCTCACTCAGCGGCAGGGAAGGGGTGGTCACCATGGGGGGAGACCTCAGTCCTTTCTAATTTATTGTGAGTTTCATTTATTGGCAGTTAGCATGAGGTCATGCCATGTAGTAATTTATGGCTTTGCTGACAGAATCTTTGGGATCATGTCTCTATTAAGCAGGTATACATGAGCCCAACATGCATGAGCTCAACTGAGGCTACGCATTGTGCTGCTGACTTGAGATGTCATCAGCCATGTGTTATAGCCAATACTGGTGTGTGTTTGACAGGGTGGAATATTATGGGAAGCAGATTCTCTACAATTGTGTAAATCAAATTGAGTATAAGTCATATCTTCCTGAAGATATTCACACAAAAAACAATGAGAAGTTTCTGAGTTATTATTGTGTCTGGAGTCTTGTGTAGTTTCTTCAACGTATGTAAGAAAAAATATAGATAATTGACTCTAACAAAGTTTATATTCTAGCTATACATTTCATATAATTTACTACAAAGTTCATATAAATGGTTATAATCACATCATTATACATTAAGGAAGTGCTCTATTGTTTTAATTTTTCATTGTATTAGGCACTAAGAGTAAAATTAAAAAAGAACATTATCTTTACAATAAGACTTATTATTGATGACTTCCTGGAGGAAGAGAACTTTGAAACAAACCATATTTTCTATCACCTGTTGAAGGGTATTCACATGCTCACAATGCGGTCTTGTGCAAAAAGACAGCCTTATTGGTAGATGAATTGAATAGCAAAATCAGTAACCTAATGGAAGATTTCACAAACAGGAACAGTCTCTATACTAGTGACTGAAGAACTCCTCATGGTTTGGATAGATCTTTACCTCAAGTCTTTATTATCTGTTCAGAGAAACTGTCTCCCCTAGGACCATGCAATCCTGAGGTTGGTTCAGGTATTTACCCTTGAAGTTGAATGTTTTTTGTTTATTTATTCATTTACTTATTTATTTTAAAATATTAATACTGTGTATTTATTTTACCCCCATTACCTTTTATCCCTCTGTGCCTTCTTCCACCTCCACCCAAAGTTGAATGTTTTTGGATCCTTTATTAAAAAGGACACAATTAGCTTGGGTTCTGGGCTTTCCAGATATAATTTGATGACTTTACATTTTCAGAGGTATTATTAGGGTGAACAGATATTAATAAGGATCATAGATATGTTGTCTATTTGTTTTGACAATTGGACTTCCTACACAATCCAAACTTACCTGCATTTGCAGATGGGATGAAGAAATGCTTGACTATAATTAAGGGCAATTTCCATAATTGCCTTCTCATTCAAGTTAAGCAGAGAAGCTGGAATAATTCCAGAAAATGATTATGTTATTTGCTTTATCTTAGATCAGGTTTACCAACATTAATTTTCTTTTTCCTCCCTTCAGATGTACATCCAAACAACAACACTTACTGTCTCCATGAGTTTAAGTGCTTCGGTGTCTTTGGGCATGCTCTATATGCCCAAGGTTTATATTATAATTTTTCATCCAGAGCAGAACGTTCAAAAACGCAAAAGGAGCTTCAAGGCTGTGGTGACAGCTGCCACCATGCAAAGCAAACTGATCCAAAAAGGAAATGACAGACCCAACGGCGAGGTGAAAAATGAACTCTGTGAGAGTCTTGAAACCAACAGTAAGTCATCCGTAGACTTTCCGATGGTCAAGAGCGGGAGCACTTCCTAATAGATGTACGTTGGACATTCTTCTACGAGTCTTGGGGTCTGCGCCACATGGCTCCAGGGGCATGATGGAACTTGCACACCATGAGACCATCATGGCTGTGAGATCCATTTGGTTCTAACCAAACGTCTTCAAGGTGCTTGGCTCTTCTGAAAAGCATACCATGCACACACGATCTCTTTACAGAGTATGACATTCAAGTCTCTCTTTGGAGGCATTACTGAGCGTGGAACTATCTTCCAAATATAAAAATTACCTTTTAATAATTAGGAACAAATCATTAATCTTTGTTAGTTCGTTATTGGTTGCTCTTTATAGACCTAATAGCTACCTAATATTTATGGGACATACTATCAAAGATCTTACACAAATAAATGTCATTTGGATATTTGGGGAAATGTGAAAACTGGTGAACTGACATATGAAGTTAAAGGATAGTTAACACTTATTTCCCGCAAGTGGTCCCCTTTGTTGGCTTCTTTTGACTTCCCACCTTGAATAAATTAATATAGTTGGAGCTCTCCCCTGAAAGACTTGTGATCCTGAAAATAGAATCCTTTCCACAACCACCACTGTGTTTTCCCTTCCTCGTCTACCTTTCACAGTCCATCCCTAAACAAGCACATGATAGTGATAGAGTGGTACCAAGGTAATCCAGGAGAGTTTAACTGATCTATGCAGTTCTTCCTGGTATCTATCGAAGAGTAGCAAATGTTTGAAGATTTATATTATAAAGAATACCAGAAACCTGAGTATAGTTAAAACTAACAAACAAAAGTAACCAACATCACAGTACTAGTTCTGTAGATGGATCAAAAAGAAATAAAAGCTAAGGCATTTGAATTAGAGGGGCTTCCTATCTTTTGGGGATACAACATGTATATTTAATAATTCAGGCTAAAATCCTGTGCAAAATTACTGTCTTCCTCTCAGATTCCTTCAGCAGGGCAGGCTGTCTCCCCAATTCTCTGTACTTTTGACATGAAATTCAGGGAAGATTAAGAGTTGTTTTTATCTGACTTAATTATTATTATAACTTCTAGTCTTCACTAGATTTATAATCATCAAGATTTCCAGATGAATATTGTCTACTCTAAATGCCCCATATGCAAAAATATCCTTAGAAGATAAGTATTGATTAATTAAACTTATTGGCTTAAATTGTTAGAATTGTTAGAATTATTAGCTAGGTCTAGTGAAGATTACTTCTACTATTGTAATACCAAATGTAGTCACTTGTAGAGGAATAAACTTTTTAGTAAATCTACAGACACTCCCCACATATTCTCCTTTCTGCAAATATGCAACCTTGAGAAACTGCAAGAACAGATATGACAAGGATGGGTTATCATAAAACATTATTATAATCATCTCTGATTATAGGTTAGCAATTTACTAATAATGGGCCTATTTGGTCTCTTAGCCAACGATGTCCTATAGCTACTCTCAATGCATTCAGTGTAGAATGTTTGTTATTTGAGGGCAGAATTTTATCTGTGTTTTCTGCCTTGAAAGCAGCAGGGCAGGAAGTTAAAACCTATTGTAGAATGCCAGGAAACTGCTGTTAGCCAATGATACATTTTGAACACTGACACTTCTTAGTATGATCTATCAGAATCTATAGTTGCGCTTGTTTTTTTTGTCTTAATCCAGAAAATTTTATGTGATACGGTTGCAAATAGAACATCCAAAGATACAGTGAAATAAATACCAGTGATCCCAGACTCATCTCTGAACTGTAATGAGAAAAAAAAAAGTCATCAGTGTTTCCTAACCTTTTAAAAAGGAAATAGGTTCCTTGAAGAGGAAGGTTTTGAGTGTTGCTAAAGACTAATCCCATAATATAGAAATAATCCCATACATTTTCTTTCCCTTCTATTTTTTTCTGTGGATGATGAAATTATCAACAGAAATTATATAATATGTGTACATTTTCCTGTTTTCTCTGAAATAATAAATATTGCAATTGTGGGACGTGTATAGAAGGTAAGCTGGTAATATTCTTGAGGAGTTGATACTCACTTTTAGAATATAAATCAAGTTGAAAGGGTGAATCAAGAGCAAGTCAATTACTACCTAGATGAGGGTTAAATTATACCTTGGAGATTTGAGTGTATCCATCTTTTATAGGAGTAGTTTGGGTTTGAATAAATTGCACCCAAAGTTTGCACATTCAAGAGAAACCGCATGAAATCTTCACACATCCTTGCACAATCCCACTCTAGGTGACCACTGTTAACCTTCACTCACTTACATGGCTAGTACTATGAACTTCTGTGTCACCGTTATCTTTGCTACATATACCAGTAGTTTTAATGAGGTCAAAAGTCTTCTAAAATCACAAACCCTCTAAACGTTTCAAAAACTCAAATATGTGAATGCTATAGATGTCTTCTAGAAATATGTCTTATGTCTTTAAAAGTGTAACTAAGTACTAGAAAGGCCTTTGCCATTTAACTAATACCATCCCTCTTCAGATTTAAACATCTCCTCTTGAAATGGGTGGAGTGTATTCTCAATAAATCCAGGGCTGATGAATGCACTGATACAGCATCTGTGTGGCTGCATTATCATACTTTCTGCTACCAGACTTGATAAATCACTACAGTGAAGTGACAGTGGCATTCATGAAAGTGCTTTGTAAACTGTAAATCACCATCTAAAGGTAAATATATCATTGTTGCCATGAATATATAGATTGGCCTGTGGCTAATAGAAACAAGAAGACATAAAATTAAAAAACTGTTGTTTTAGCATTCCTCTCTCTTTTTATAAACATGTTGAGGATTTTGGTGATTATCACTATAATTCTATTCTTGAGATTTTTTTTTTCTGACAAATTAGCTAAGATTTATGATATGCATGCATCTTTTGACCTTCCTGGCCATGGAGCAGCTCTACTAGTCCATTATTTGTAAAAACTTCATCTTAATGATGACTTGTCAATGCCAGGAATTCCGGTCATATATTTAAGGTTTTAAAGCTTCAAAATGCAGGAAAATGTAAGTAATGTGAAACTGGAAAAAAAGACCAACAGGTCTATGTTACTTACTAAATTCGCAGAATCCATCATTCCAAACAAAACAGCTCCTGTTCTTTCATAAAAGTTTGGGATGGGAGTTAGAAACAAAGTTAATATATATGAATTTTATCAACTGTATCCAAATAACAAAGACTGTCACATGATACTCCTTAAACTATGTTCATGCATAATTCATGAAAATAGCATCTGTTGAAGGTATATCTGCTTTGTCTAGCTTATAAGCACCATGTGGTATGCACAGGAAATTCATTGTTGCTGTATTCTAAAACTATTTTTCACATTAGCATATTCATTACCTCTGTAAAAATTCTCTCTATTAACTCATCTCTGCATCTTTGATGGATTTCACTCTGTAATACTTCTGGGATAAAGATCCTTGCCATTCGCAGATTTGTGCCTTATCACTGATTTTATGTTGACTAAGTCATTGGTTATCAGAGCCCTGCACTCCCTTTTGTAAACATTAGAAAAATTAAGATTGCTTTCCCTTTGTACATGATAGTCTCAATTCTCAATAGAATTCTATCATCTTTTCCTCTGGAGATTACTTCTAGGAGTTCAAAAAATGAAGTATGGATCTTTAACTAGCTATGGGCTTTAAGTTGGAATGATTCTTAAAGATAGTCTACAGTAATCTAAATCATTTTAGCTTGAATTAATATCTAAATATCATCTTCCTCAAGACATTTGTTCTTATATTTCAATCATATTTTTTCTAGCTACCTATGGATTTGATAAATATTTTGTATATTTTTAGTTACTGTTGAATATATTGATTAAGGCATGCAATTGAACAACCTTGTTAAGGGTCATTTTCTAACTCTTATGACAATTTTTCTTTATCTTGCCTGCAAAGTTTTATGAAAGGCCTTCAAAAACATGGTTGAAGATTTTATTTTATTTTAAAGAAATTTAGAGACATCTGAAAGCATTATATAAGTTAGAAATAAAAATAAAACAATAAAGCAAACAAGCATAAAAATCATTATGTTTCACTTGGAAAGGTAAGTAGAAGAATAGAATTCTATATTGACTCATTTAGACACCAGCTGGCCCTTCACAAACCTATTTCTGCTTCCATCCTCACAAATCTACTTCCATGCTCACAAAAACAAAACCAAAAAAACAATGTTTTACATTTTTGACCTGTGATGTAACTGAGGACCAGTGAAATTTTTTTTTTTACTCATTGTACAAGAAACATAACTTAAATCCAGGTCTAAAATATTCCTTTAAACTGTGCCACAAAAATAACCTAGGAGTGAGAGCAATATAAATGATATAAGCAGATGTGTCACCTATTTTTGGCATGAATCTCATAATATTCAAGGATATTAAACATAGCAAAAATATTAGCACTTCTTTGGGCTATCTATGCTAATTTAGTGATGGTGAACTTGGCATGATCTCAGTATCTGGTAAGAGTTTATCTGGTCAATCAGTGGTTATGTCCACTAAAATGGAATGAGCTTGATTGCCAATTGTTTAAGAGGAAGAGCTTTACAACTTCCTTATTCAATATTCAAAAACTAAATTATACATTTTTTTACTTTAAATATTTTTTTAATTTTATATTCAGTTGGCATACAATATTATATTAATTTCAGGTGTACTGCCCAGTGATTATACATTACATAACTTACTAAGTGATTACCCTAGTAAATCTAATACCCATCTGACACCATACATAGTTATTATAATACTAGAGATCCGATGCATGGAATTCATGCAAGAGTAGGCCTTCCTTCCCCTGGCTGCTGGCACTGGCATCCCTCTGGCACCTGGGACCCAGGCTTCCCTCGCAGCCCCGGCTTTGTTCAGAAGGTCATCTGAAAGGACACCCAGTCTAATTAGCATATTATGCTTTTATTATTATAGATTATTGACTATACTCTCTATGCTGGGCTTTATATCCCTGTGACTATTCTGTAACTAACAATTTGCATTTCTTAAACCCTTCACTTTTTTTCTCCCATCTACTCAACCCCTTTCTACTTGGCAACTATCAAAATGTTCTCTGTATGTATGAGTCTGTTTCTTTTCTGCTTGTTTGTTTATTAAGTTCTTTAGATTCCATATATAAGTTAAATCACAAGGCACTGTCTTCTTCTGTCTAACTTATTTTACTTTTGTCTAACTTATTTTACCCTCAAGATCCACCCATGTTATTGCATTCTTTTTTTAGGGCTGTGTGATATGTGTGTATATATATATATGTATATATATATATATATTGATATATATATATATATATATATATATATATATATAAAATCACCTCTTCTTTATCTATTCATCTACTGATGGACACTTAGATCTCTTCTCTATCTTTGCTATTGTAAATAATGCCACAATGAGCATATACCGTGATTCCCTGAAAATAAGACATCCCCTGAAAATAAGACCTAACGCAACTTTGGGAGAAAAAATTTAATATAAGACACTGTCTTATTTTCAAGGAAACAGGGTAGATGTATATGTCTTTCAATTTTGAATACATACCCACAAGTGGAATTGTTGGTTCTTTCTTTGTCTCTTGTTACATAGCATTTGTTTTAAAGTCTATTTTGTCAGCTTTTTTTAATTTCATTTTCAATAAGTATCTTTTCTACCCCTATGCTTTCAATATGTTTATATCTTCTGATCTGAAGTGAGTCTCTTGTAGACAGCATACGTAAGGAAGAGTCTTGTTCTGTTATCCATTTAGCCTCCATATAACACTAAATTATTCTTTAAAAATCTGTTTCATCCTGAATTGGATCTATGTAATGAAACACATATATAATAGTTTGCATGCTTCCCATAAATTTCTTCTTCAGATTATTCATTCCAGAATTTTATAGAAAAACATCTTTCAAAAACCTAAATGAATTCTTTGGATTTAGATTCTCTGGAAATGTAAGCATGAGTATAAATTTGACTTAGAATTATTTTTTTATTTATATCTTTGTAAAAGTCTTACAATAATGAGTTTTACTTCATAGTAAGTTGGTACTAATATAATTAAATATTCATATCCTCCTTTGATTCTATTTATTTTTTAAACTTCTCCAGTTGTATCTGTTGGATAAAAGCAGATCATAAATTTGTATTGGCAATACACATATTTACTTTAATGTTTATAAATATTCCATGTACTTGATATTTTATAATGTTCCTTTTTAGAGTCTAAGTACTATTTTTAAATGGAAGATATATTCATTTTCAAAGTACAATTAATTATAATTAGTAACCCTTTTTGGTCATCAAAGTAGACTCAAAGAATTTAACTGAGGCTTTAATAATTTTTTTTTTATATTGCAGGATAATTTATTTGTCCTTTCATTTTTCATATTTCATATTTCATCTTTATTAATCAACACACACATAAAATTATATTTTAGCCTGGCCAGTTTGGCTCAGTAGATAGAGCGTCAGCATGTGGACTGAAGGGTCCGTGGTTTGATTCTTGTCAAGGGTATATGCCTAGGTTGTGGGCTTGATCCCCAGTGGGAGGCGTGCAGGAGGCAGCCAATCAATGGTCCTCTCTCATCACTGATGTTTCTATTTCTCTCTCCCTCTCTCTTCCTCTCTAAAAACAATAAAAATATATATTTTTAAAAAATTGTATTTTACCCAAGTTTATCAAAGATCAGAACTGTTACACTTTTTTTTTGAACTGTTACATTTTTAATATTCTGCTAACACCTATACCATAAGTGAGGCTAGTGGTTTTACAGATTAAAATTGCTGCAGCATTTTTATTCCTACAATCATTGAATTCCTACTACATAGTTTAAAAATAATAAGTAACTTAGTACAAAGTGAATATTACAACAATAGTCATTATGGAATTTGAATTTTAAAATCATTTTATCAAAATAATTTATTATTACATACTATTAATTTGTCTTAATTTATCTTAACAGCTTCCTCTACCAAGACAACATATATCAGCTACAGTGATCATTCAATCTGAAAAAGGGAAATGACACACTATGAAGAAATCTGGTATGTGATCTCAAACAATGAACATGACACCACCAAGACTTACTCTTGGAGATCTCTTTGGACTACAGTCAATCAAATCCATAGTCAATCTTGTGAGGAACAAAAAGTAGCCATGAGCCAAAAATATCAACAAGAGAGAGAGAAGAAACCCATTTTATACAATACAACCAATGAAGTCTCAAGCTAAAGTATTGCTTACTCACGAGCAATTAAAAATAAATCACAAAAGGAAAACTAATGTTAGCTTGTGAAAAAAAAAATGCCGTTGAAATAAACCATGTCTGATGTTACTCTTGTAAGTATTTTTCTGTGATTGTGAGAACTCCTGTTCCTGTGCCACATTGTTCACTTGTATAAGACAATGAATCTGTTTCTTGTAATGGCTGATGGATTGAAGCCCTGGGTTGTGCTAAAAATAAATGCAATGGTTGACGCATGCAATTTTTTATACAAATAATTTATTTCTAATAATAAAGGAATGTTTTGCAAATGTTGAGAGTTGTTTCGTTCCAGTTTTAAAGCCAGGGGAAACTCCAGTTGGCGTTGGCACTTCTGCTGTCGCCTAACTAAGCCAAAGGAAATAGAATTTTGGGGGGAAGAATGTGTTTTTGTACACTCGTGTATATATGAAGAAGACTCCTTTATTCCTATATGAAAGAGAATTATTTAGGGAAGACTTTGTGAATATTTCAAGATTTATGTGGTAGTTTTTTTTTTCATAATTGCTTCTTTTATGAAGAATCAAGCAATAGCTTGAGGTGAATTGCTTCAGGTTTCAAAGCTAACAAATGATGAAATGTGTTATGAAAATCACCACTTTAAAGTTCTATCAGAGTGTCACTGAAATTTTCTGTTTTCTAAGTCAGAACTTTTGCCTAATGAAGTATTTCAAGGTATGTATTATTAACCTTTTCTCACCCAGGCCCAGTACCCACTGTAATTGGTCAAGTAATGGGCCTTATCCAGTACATTCCTCAAAGCACAGAATTAGCATATTTAATCTCCTGGCATCACTAAAGAAACCACAGTTCAGATAATATGTCAGTGCTTTCTTATTTTCCAAATGAAAACATTCATTGGTTCATAGAACAGTGTCATTAGAGAGAGAGAGAGAGTACTGGGAGCTTGTGTCATGCTAATAAGCCATGCTAGGATGGATAAAGGAGCCTGATAAAGGCTTTCAAATCTGTTCCCATTTTCACAATCCCAGAAATCCATCAAGTCAATGGGTCTCTACAATCATTTTGTTAGTAAATGTTCTCTCCACTGAGTTAGGTTGGATGGCTCATTGCTCTCCTTATAGATATAAAGAGCTGTAAGTGCTCCATAGCTTCAACCCAAATATCGACAGTCACTTTATTTAATAGAGAGTGAAAGTAGCATAGTGTAGGCTCCCTCAAAATAGAGTAACACTACCTGATGCCTACACAGACAGAAAGCTGCAGACAGAAGGCTTTTTGGCCTTTTGTTGAGTTTCTTCTAACAGTATTTGTTGTTTGCAGATGATATTTAAATCAAGGAGTAAGGGCATTATTTTTAAAATTTTTGATAATCCAAATTCCTGGTAAATAAATCCTATAATCAAGATCCTAAACTCACCTCTAGGTGTGCCTTGTTAGATAAGAGCTAGCTTAAAATAAAACATAATTGCACATTTACTTTTTTGTGCCATGTAGCTCAGAACCAATAATCAGACCATGAAGTAATTGCAATTGTTTTTTGCATTGAAGATTATTAGTGGTTTTTAAGATTTTTATCTTAATTTTTACTTGTAAGTATCCATGTTTGGTTGAGAAAATACTTGAATTTCACAAGTCTTGCATATTTTTCAGAGAACAAAATTCAAGTATATTTTCATGTTTTCATTTACTAATTGACTCTAATCAGGGTAAGGGGATGCAACAGGGAGATTATGAGAATAAAACTGGCTCCCAGGCCAAAGGTGGTGTTTTTTGTTTTTTGTTTTCTTTTACAGTTTTAGGAAAAAAATAAAATATTAAGCATAACACATGAGATTTCAAAATGTTCTTCCTATTACAAACTTACCAATGAGTTGTTTTTTCCTAAGTACTTTTATAAATAGTTGATTCTTGTTTTGTGTTCTTCAAAATCTTATTTTACTTATAATCGAGTTGAATAATAGTTGTGGTGGATTTACATATGCCAATCATCCTTTATAACATTATATCAGTGGGAAACTTTCTCTTTGATGAAACTATAATCCTACCCAGGTAGTGGGAGGATAGATTCTCTTAGCCTCTTAAAGCAGGAGCTGGAGAATTCTGACCTCCACTGTGGCTTCTTTCTCAGGAGTTTTGCTGTGGGCTCCAGGGGTGGTCCTATAAGCTGTGACAATGTGGGGAGGTATCCTGTAAAGAGAAGAGTTTAGCATGTGCTAGTAGTGATTCCTAAATCCCATACTTTAAAATGAACTGCCTGTGTACTATAGATAAGCAAATAAAATTGAATGGAATATATAGTATTATATTTTTTAGAATTGACCTTGTGTTTTATTATGGCCAAGAAATGTCACATCTAATCTCAGCATGCCAGAAGAAATGCTAAAAATGTAGCCCAAGGTAATATTCAACAAATGTCACTACGTAGTAGAAGATGAGCGATATATTAGTGTGACCTTGGGCCAAATCTGATTGAAATTTTTATAAGTTTTTAGTGTATACTAGTTAATATTTGAAGGTGTCTAAATCAATTATGGTTGATCTGTCACCAAACAATTGTTAAGAAAAAAACAAAACACTCATATTTTAAACTTGATGGATGATGGCCCATTGGAACAGGAACAGGAACTGAATTGGTACCTTAATTTTTAGTGTTTATCAAAAATTTTACCAAAACAATGTGGCATGTCAGATGAACAGGATTTTAGATTTTTTTTTATTTGAATTAAATACCATATTACAGGAACTCTCACTAGGAAGGGAAGTTTGTGTTATTTATATTTTATTTCCTCTTAACTCTATTTTTTCTATTATTTACCAATGATGGCATAGAAAAATATTAAAAATTTTCTAAATTATATTAGCCAACACTGATATTTATTCAGTAGAAAGTGAAAAAAAATGGTATTTCTAAACTCTATTATGCAATTTTGCCATTTTTTTCTCATTTCATTTATCTATTTCTTTTAATGCTAGTATGGCCATCTATCTTTTAGAATAAAATAGCTAAAAATACATGAGCTTACAAGAATGGATATTTAAGGAATAATAACAAATTGTAGAATACTCTAATCATATATAATAATCTTCAGATATAATTCATTTTGCTTTTATTATGGTTTCTCTTTGATGAGGATATGAGTAATAAAGAAAAAATTGACCCTAACTAGAAGAAATGGTTTCCTGAAGAAGGAATTACATCCATGAATATTAATAACCTTGCCAACTGTCTGTCACTCTTGGAAAGTACCATATTATAAACATAGTAGCAAAGCTTGTGTAATTGTTCTATTTCAGTTTTATTTATTTTAAAAGTTTTTTGTAGCATAACCTTTAATGATGTTAGTGCTTTGGTGTGCCTTATTTCATAATTTAATTTAACTCTTTGCTAGGACAGTCAGAATGTTTTTTTTCTATGTTGAACTCAGTGTATTATTAATGTAGTTTCATATGTTTTGACTTCTATAACTGTTTTCAGAGTGATAAGTTTAGAAAAAAAAGAAATTTTAACTATTAAATACATTTTTCTAATTGCTCACTGCTTAATTAAGTAGCTTTAGGAAAACTAAATAGGACAAATAACTTGTTATGACATCAAGATAGCCATCATTGATTGGGACCTATGAACATATAAGAATTGACCATATCATAATTTGGATGTATGAGTGATATGTTTATAGAAAACAGGAAATACAAATGATCAATGTAATATTTCAATTTTTAAATAGGAAAAAGAAAGATCATTTATCAATGAAATTAGTCCCATTAGGGAAGTTCACTAGAATAAAAGATGCTGTTTGAATGTTAGCAAAAAGTATTACATTGTTAAACTATATTTTTAAAGTTAAAAATATAGCTCCTACATACAGTAGGTAAAATGAAGAAGTCAAGTATTTTGTTAGTTTGGTGTCTTATAGTATAATCTATATATATAGAAGCCAAAGCAACTGCTACGACCGAATGACCGGAACAACCAGTTGACCAGTTGCTGTGATGTTCACTGACCACCAGAGGACAGATGCTTAACACAGGAGCTACCCCTTAGTGGTCAGTGTGCTCCCACAGCCAACCTCCCACAGTCCCTCCCCATGGCCTGCAGACCCCAATCTGCCCCTCCCTGATAGGGACTGTGTGAGACAGCTCTGATAGGCCCTGATTGCTCGCCAGGCCTAGGGACCCCATTTGTGCATGAATTCATGCACTGGGCCTTTAGTAAATCATAAACATTGAGGATATTCCATTGGACAGACATTATTTGAATCTAGTGGATACAAATCAACAAATTACTCATTGTGCCTATGGAACTATAAAGTGGCCATGTTGATAGAAATTCCAATGCAGAACCATACTGAAAGAATAACCATTAATATATTTTTTCTATTTCCAAGGTTTGAATAATTTTTCTGAAGAATGATAGTTCATTGTTTTGCTTCCCATAATTTCAAGCATTACATCATCTATACTTGAATAATAAAGATCACAAATACACCTAAAATCATGTTAAAATAATCCAGTTAGTAATGGAAGGGCTATGGGATAGGTCTGTATTTTAATTACTCTTTCCTGTCTTTACTCTTTACTATTTTTCCAGTTCAGAGGCTAAACTGAATATGATATGGAGGGTAAGTATGAATAAAAGGGTAGCTAAGAGTTCCCTATCTAGCAGATCCACAAATAATCTGAGAAAATGTAACTGTCATCTCTTGTGAGTATTTTCTCTCCCTTTTTGTAGTATAATAAATAAAAAAAAAGAAGAAAACTTTTTTAAGAGTATCCCTGAAGATGGCAAACCATGGATAATTTACCCTATCTCCATGAATATCTTCTATTATTTGTCACTGGCTATTAAACCTGTCCCATCCCAACAAAGAGTTCTCAGATCCTGCCACTGGCATCTTCCAGGCAGAAGAAGCAAGAATGAACTCTTCTTAATCAAAAGACAGGAGTGGAGATGTGGAGGTATGATGAATGGAGCTCTGCTTGTCTACAAATATCCTACCCTGTTTCCCCGAAAATAAGACAATGTCTTATATTAATTTTTGCTCCCAAAGATGCGCTAGGTCTTATTTTCAGGGGATGTCTTGTTTTTCCATGAAGAATACGGTACACATTTATTGTTAAATGAAAATAAAGGAAATTTATTACCTGTATACGGTACGGTAGTACGGTAGTTGTCAACACAAACCAGACAAACTGTGAATCCTACAGTATCAAGAATTTACTCATTTATTCAATGACAATCATGTCATCATCTTCTGGAACATCATCATAACAATCCAATTCCTGAGTTTTCTTGTGACTCCATTTCTTT